ATTGGGGTTAGAAGGAGATATTCCAGCTAATCATAGTCTGAACGAAAGTTTGAGAGAGATTTTTTAAAGATGAAATACATGAAAAGATTGTTATCTTTTAAAACTAAATATATATTACAACATCTCAACTTCTGTCTGAACTTTGAGCTTTAGTATAAGAATGAATGCATGCTAGATTTCTCAAGGAAACTAAAATACTACCAAATGCTGTCTTAAATTGTGTTCCTGATATAATGAGTTTAACGGCATAAACATATTTTAAGGATTAATTTTGATTATTCAATGCAAGATTTTATTTGACATATCTTTGAAATGATTTAAATACTCCTGTAAAAAGGTGGACACAGACAAGCTATAAGTTCAGACAGAGGCAACAACTGGCGAGAACAATTTTATGCTTTTCAAGCTTTCTTTGTCCTTGCACTTGGAGTCCTTGTACTTCCTCCGTCAGATTTCAGGCTGTGACTGATGTGTGTGATAATCAGAATTTATTCCTCTTCAGGATCTTGAAAACCTTAGAAAAGAAAGTACAGGAAGCTTTAACTGGCCTAACTTCTCCTGCTCATGTTTTGTTCAAATTTCTTTCAACCTTAGCTTCATTAAATTTTGAACTTTCAATTCATTTAAGGAGTCGACTCTATGGCTGTGAATGAAATCTTCCTCCATTGATTTCTTTAGTGATGCTTAAAGCTTCAGTGGGAGATAAAGCACAGTGGGTGATTGTTACTGCCCAAAAACTTCATTGTCTCAAACTAAACCAGTAGTTTCATTCTGTGGAATTCCTTAGTGGAAAAGAATTCCCATTTAGAGATAAATGCACTTCAGATGAACACCAGCTGTGCCATAAAGAGATTCTCATTTTTGAGCAGGATGACCAGTTAAACAAGCTGGATTGTAGATACAGGCTTAGACTTACTTTACTTTTACGTAAAGCACAGCAAAAAATGGAGCTCTGGAGAGACATGGTGATCAAATGGGTATAATGCAAACTTCAATTTGATGTCAAATTGTATACCTTACTTATCCAAAAATCTAATTGAATTATGACTTCTGCTATTTTATATAATAACAATATCCAACATTATTGTGATTATTTGTAAAAAATAATAACTAAAGGAAAGCATTATGATAGTGCTGTAAAAAGGAACAACAAGGCAACGAACATAGAGTTTTGGGGTCTGTTTAACTCATATGTATAAATGTGATGTCTGCAATACAAGATTCAATGTATGACTTTTAATATGAATTGAAGAAGTGAATGAATGATCTGAAAATTTAGATGAGTAAGGGAGCACAGAAGAGAACTGGATTAAATGCCAATGTTTAGCTGATGCTGACAGAGTCTATAATGCTTTGAGTAACAGTCAGAAAAGGTAGCCCAATCTGAAATCAGGTCCCAGCAGCCTAATAAGAAGGATGGGGACTCGTGCTCACAGCACCAATGCACCACGACAATTTCAACTAGTGATTTGATTGATGTCGTAGGAGACAAATGTAGGGTCCCTGGTGGGTTTTGGCAATGGATCTGAGTATATAAATGAGCACGGTCTACTAGCTTGTGCTCAGTCCATTTGGCTGTGTGGAATCCTTTTGGGGCCAATTCAAGAGCTGCCCCTTGCCAAGTTTATCACAAAGTGTCTTGGCCGTATCTATAACTAGTTACTGGAAGGGTCCAGCTTTGGCTAATGAGTTGTACATGCCTCTGATCCAGGACATGAGTTTAAATACACCATGTTTCTCAGTATTGTATTTTTAAATGTGTTTGAGTGTGTGATGGCTTGATTCCCAGTGGAGCAATTTGGAATCTTGATGATTAACCTCTGAAGCAAATGGGTAGCCTTGCTTTTTAAACGCATCTGCAATTTCCACATATTAAACTCTTCAAGACAAATAATTCATTAATTTTGTTGTAAACACAATAAATGCCAAGTTTTTAAACTCTGTTTTATTCAGCCCATAAACAGCTAGAGACAATGTGAAGATGGTTTGTCTTTTCATTTATTTGATTCATTCGTTTGTAGAAAAAATCATGATAATT